GAGATTTGGATATTGTACATGGCCATATTGTGATTTTCATAATATTGCAATTAACGTGCAACCTTACTACTGTAACTATAATTACTGCACACATTATATTTTTAGGTTATTTTTATTACTCAAGATACTGTGTTATTTATTAATGAGTACATTACTTATATTTAAGTAGTAATAGATTCAGCATTACTTAGTGGTAAATTAATATTTTTTATTGTCATTTATAGTACTTTGTTTGTTGTTTCATTTTCATGTGCAGTGTTTAAGTGGAGTCATTGTGTTCCCTTGGTTATGAGCTAATTGGTTCCTGCCTGCCCTTGTTTTGTGGGGACAGGTATGAGTGATACACAAGAGACCCTCGTGCTTAACAGTGAAGAGAAGTTGCTGTACCCCGAAGTTGGGATGTGTTAAAAAGTTAAGAACCTGGGCACACAAATAATCAAAAAAAGAGGGTTACACTACAATTAAATTTCGTATTGTCAATATAATTTGAATGTAAAAAATACTTCAAAATTAACTTGATTTAGCTTCTTAATCATTTTAACTTTATATATTATATTATGGGATCACCTGTATTGATGCATTATTGTGTAAGTAGCATTTTAATCAAGCGGCAACCTTCGGGGCTAAAAATAAAGCCAACGCAGAGGTGCCAAAAACTGCAGTTCCTCGAATGGCCACTTGAGGCTGGCTCCAAATGTGAGTCAATCCCCATAGACCTCCATGTTAAAATGCCCAACTTTACTTTACAGCACAATTAAACACATTTACAGCCTGGTATAAAAAATGTCTTTGGTCTGATTAGCTAATTTCCACCTTCATGACAACTGTACGGAGGATGAATTTCATATAAATCACTCATTCACATTTTATTGAGGCTCAAAGTTATGCATAATGAAGGTAAAGCTGGTTTAACTGACAGACTGGCTGCCGGTAGTGTCCTCGAGTTCTCAGTCGGATCCACCCCTCGCGCCTTCACAGTTCCACCCTCTTTTCCAAATATGGTCACTTCTGGCTCCAAAAATCCAAGATGGGGACGTCCAAAATGCCAAATTCAAGGCTTCGAAACTGGAGTCCACAAACCAATAGTTGACGTCACAATCATACATGATTAGGGCTGCTCCCGACTAAGAATTTTCCTAGTCAACCAATAGTCATCATTTAGGGCCATTAGTCGACAAGTCGCCTGCATGTTTACGATATTAATTTATCTATTAAATGATATATTTTGGGCGGGGCAGCACAATGGTTTGAGTTGAAGGTGTGAGAAAGAATAGTATCAGTAACATTGTTAACACTGTGCTACATTACAGAGAAATACAAAACCGTACTAATGAACCTTCATTAATATAGGCCTATATTTTATCTACAAGTGCACGTCACACACTGAGTGAGCCGCCTGTTAATGACGCTGTGGGCTAATGGGCATGTAGCTACTTCCATGTTTCGGATGATACGTCATGTTTGTAGTCCACCAATGAAGATGAGTTTACATATCACCTTGGGTTCGTCCTTCACCTGATCAACTTTTCCTTATCTATCAGACTTATTATTTACTGTTTGGTATTCTGATCTCTAGAAATGCTTGTAAGCTAAATATGTGTTTTGCATGTAATCTAAAATCTGCACAACATGAAAGTATATTCATGGAACAAGTCTGTTTCTTTAAAATTATGTTCATAATGGGAGGTAATGCTGCCCAGATTACACTCTTTATCAACATAATGAGAAACATTCATTACCGTTAATACTAGATTTATCAGTAAAGTGCCCATTGTTTTCCCCACAATATCTGCATGTATCAACTAAAGCATTCTGTTAAGATTCTCACAGCACTGGGTCCAGGTAAGGAAAGCTCAAGGTCATGGTTTAATACAGAAAAAGTCAACACTGACTTGAACCACGAGATGTTTACTTGCCGAACTGAAACCACAATATTTCCCTGAGTCTAAGTGCTTTGTTTGTTGCTCAACCCAAACCTCAAGTGGGACTCAGGATGCGAACCTCTGCACTCTGCACGCCCACCATTCACAACCACCACCTACCCACGTATGCCAGGCAGTAAATACCCATGGTTCTTCAATCAGTCGAGAAGAAACGTTGGCAAGTATCACAATCCAGGCAGCTGTGGCATTTTCCCTAGAAATGTATCTGCTTATATAACTCAATAGCATATAAACGTCATTTGTTGGAGACAAGGTTGCAAATAAAAGTTCCTGTGAAATGTGATTTGGCAGAATAAGGGGGCTGCTATTTTCTGGAAACAAGGTTATTTGAGATCCGTTCACAGAAAAAGCTCAGATCTGAATACTGTCTTTGACAAACCCTTTGAATGAATTACCAGTCAAATTATTTCATAACTCTAAAGTGGTGGGCGTCTGAGCGAAGATAATTCTGTTCTTCTGCTCCCAAGGTCAACAATACATTTTCATGCTGAAGCTATTGCATCACTTTAATGCAGTCCTGTCAGTCCAAGATAGCCATGTAGTCCTGCCCCTTGACTTGCCCTCACTCACCTGAGAGATATTACAGGAGTAGCTACCGCTGTGTATGGCAGAATGAGATGTGACTTCATTTCTGTCGTCTTACTGCATATACTTGTAAGTACTCGAACACCCCCCCCCCCCCCCCCCCCCCCCCCCCAAAAAAAAAGTATAGTAAATCAATATGACACAACCTACAAACCATCCGAATGTCCCCATGTATCATGATGATGAGCCATTTAAATGCTCTACATAGCTGAGTGTCAAATTGATTTTTCCCCTAATCCTGAGCTAAGCAGAGTTCCGAGGAGGATCTGGTAAGCAGGTTATTTTTAACCTGTAACTCCCCTTCCCTGAAGCACCCTAAGCAGGCCAGAGGTATTCATCATCTGCTCCGAGCGCTGCCTCTCAGCTGTGAAGGAGCCATCTTGTACTCACACGTCTCTGCTCTCAGCCAGCGCGGGGCGAGTGTGTTGTTTTTCTCTGACGTGTTGATGTGGTCAGCTGCCTGCTGCTGCTGTCCCCAGAATCAATGATCACAAAGCCTCCTGGTAATACAACCAGCAGTGTTTACTTAGGGGAATAGAAAAAGGCCCCCTCAGCTCTTTGTTTAAAGGGACAGTTCACCCACATTAAACAAATATATCTGCCTCACTTCTGGTGCTACAGTAGCGAGTCATGCAGAAAGGTTGTTAAGCAAACTCAATCCACTTGTGAGGACTGAGATGCTCTAAAAAAGCAGCCCTGTTCCCTAGAAATTATGTTTACACCGCAAAACGTCAGTCAGTAGCCTGGGCGTATAATTGCTTAAATCACTGAACTCAACAGGCGTCTATATGGGACAGGTCTTTAATTCCCTTTGCACAAAACTGTTGCTCAGAAGGGAAATACAATAAAATTGTTTATTTGTACCAGTTTAAATATTACTTTTATAAAAAGTATGCTTCGAATAACATCAAGTGTGTGCTTCATGGCACGTGAGGAAAGCTTTTCCCTGTTAAAACAATGTTACGAAAAAACACTTGATTCTTTTGATTGGTGGACCCTCACAGACTACAGGAATATAAATAACCAGGTAATACCAGGTAATGGAGGAACAGACACATATTCTGACTTTATGACAGCTTCAGAAGAACAGAGCCACCACTTGTTTTTCCATCATGCCACTAAATCTGAATGACTTACGGCCCTCTCTGGTGCTCATGGTGTCAGTCAAATGAAATCAACCAAGCTAGCGATATGTAGCATCTCTATTGACAAAAAGTTAAATATTTATATTTGTATGTGCGATCTAAATAGCTAAATAACGTTAAGCTGATAGTCAACAATCTGGTTTTATACGTCCAAAGAACTTCTATGAAAATAAACTGCTTGGCAACCAGACCAGGCTTCTAATTGAGACAGGCCTTTTATTTGTCAAAATGTGTAGCTACACTAGGCTAGTAAAAGGGATGGGACAATACTGTTATTGAAGTTTCTCAGTATACATTGTTACAATACAATACGTTTTGAGGGAAACCTAATGCAGAGTAGAGCTTAGATCGGGCCCAAAAAATCCAGCCTGACCCCACCCGAGCCCGTGCATGTTCTGTCTGAGCCCGGCCTGGCCCATCCCTTTAACTGTAATTACGAGCCCGAGCCTGGTTTAAACCTGACATGTTTTTTTGAGGATATGAACATGGACATTGAAGGCTGACTCTCGTCTTTCTTTCCATGGCGAGCCTTCGTCATGTGCCTCTTAAGTGTCGAGGTCTCAGTCTTTTTGCTGACGTATACCAGCATTGTGCTGCACTTGGTACACTCGACGAAGCTGACACACGTTATCACCATCGACAACTCACGTGTGTGAGATTTACAGATTTACAAAGGACAGTTATAAAAAGAAATGACTTTAATTAAAGCTGCAGAATGTGTTTGCTTTTCTATTCCACACATTCTTCTTCCCCTAAATCTTTCTGTAGGAGACAATATCGTCCATCTACAGCACACTTGAAAACTGAGTATTTTTTTGTATATATACTAACTGTTTTGAGTATACTTAAATGTGTCCCGCTGACAGTGTGAACACACTTATGCAGGCAGGAATTAGGACACAGCTAAGGTCTGCTGCAAGAGAGTTGTAGGAACGTGCTCCGTGCACACACGGTTTGACTTTATGCAGCGAGTAAAACAGGATCCAAGTCGTACTTTCTGTACATAGAGTACAGAGAAAGCAAATAACTCATTCCACGACAGCCGTGGCAGTAAACTCTCCAGCTGCAGCTTTTCCTTGAAGAGCAGTAAAATGACTTCCAGGAAAGTGCTGATGTTCGCCCTGTGGCTTGGCTTGCTCAGAGACTTAGGTTACAGATATTTTCCTGTCCCTGAGGTGCAGCACAGCCCACCCTCAAAGGCACCGATGACTCACAATGGTTGCAGCGAAGAAAAGAAAGTTGAAAAGATCTTTGCAGTAATAGAAATAATTAGATGTGTAATTCATTTCCTTTTATCTAATTTCCTCACTGTCTATGTTCCCCACAGTCCTCCCCGATGCACACCCACACCTCACTGGCTGCGTCTCTGCCAACATGGAGACTTTCCGCTGCAGATGGAATGTCGGCACTTCCCAGAGCCTCTCCGAGCCGGGAGCTCTCCGCTTATTCTACATCAACAAAAAGTAAAGGACAAACTTTGTGATTAGTAACAGATATATGTGCGTTATCTGTATGTTTAAGCAAGTCAAGGTTAGAGATAAACAAAAGGGAAACAGATGAGAAGAGGGGTTTTTTTTGTTGTTGTTGTTGTTTTTTAGATTGTCTTTTGTTTTTATTTGGATACAACTCAGCAGAGTACATATAATTACAAAGTGCATGGAAAAAAGGATAAAAAAAATTGAATTTAGAAAAAATGTTTTATAAGACATCAAAGAATCATAACAATTCAAAATAATGCAGAAAACTAATTAAGAATAAAACTTATGGTTATTTTGATTGTCGATTAGTTAGTCTGTAAAATGTAGAAAATGGTGTTATCCAAAGCCCAAGATGATGCCCTCAAATGTCTTGTTTTGTCCAAAATAAAACAATATTCAGTTAACTGTCTCACAGGAGTCAAGCCAGTCAAACCAGAAAATATTCAGATTTAAGAAACTGCAATAAGAGAAATTTTACTTTTTTTCCTGAAAAAATGTTCAACCTGATTAATCAATAATCAGATTAGTTGGTGATTAATTTAATTGTTGACTTATCGTTGCAGCTCTAATTCACTGCAGTACGTGGTGTGTGTGTGACACAGATAAAGAGAGCATCTTAGGAATAAATGGAAAGAGAAAGAACTTGATACATGTAAAGTCTGTTTGTGTCTGATAAGGACAGAGGGGAAACAAGTGCCCGTTGTTAGAAAATGCATCTAAGTGAATTCAGGTTAGAGTCGTAAACGGCTTCATAAAATCCCTCGTCACCCACATTTTTAAGGTCAAGCGTGGTCGCTGCTTTTACAACTCAAATGTGCACATGGTTGAGTCTAAACCTTATCAGGCATGTGGCGCACCTGCACCAGCACTCTGTGTTGACAAGGCAAAAGTCCAGTTCAAGCTGACACTTAACTGTGACATTTAAGTTTATCTGTGGCTGTAATCATGTTATGTTATCAAACAGTTTAACATTAAAAAACTTGGGTTTGTGAAATTAAAAAATGCACCTAAAGGCCACGAGATTTCCTAAAGATGCTGGTTAAAGGATAAACCTGGTATCACCTATATTGCATTAGTCTGTATTTTTCCAATTGTCAACAGAAAGAAAACAACCTTGAAATTGTGTTGGTTTTTCTGGCTCCCCTTCTCTGTTTGATATTCAGCCCCAAATCCACCAGTTCCAATAAAAACATCAATAAAACACACAAATATATGGTAAAATATTTAGAAAATTCTTGGAAATTTTACAAGAAAGCTGGGCGTTATTAACAAACTTTAGCTCGACTGGGTATTAGGCCTGTAACTTTTTCAATAAGTCAAGTATAAATCATTAGAATAAATGTGAACACAACCCTTAATTAACATTTTACCAAAGTGATTAGTCCCGAAACAGGGAAGGTTATTTACAATATTTTTTTATGCAGAAGAAAACGAAAATGTTACATTGAAGTGCCCCGAATAAATTCTGAGATGTAATATTGGAGTTTATACGATATACTTGTTTAATCCAGTGGTTCCCAACTGATGGGTCGCGGTCCAAAAGTGGGTTGTGGGTCATTCTTACAAGTGACTTGTTTGGAAAAATCACACTTTATTTTGAAGTACAGTGAATTTCTGGCGCATAGCTTTTATTTCGAAGTGCCATTTCCTTGGGAAACAGCTCCAGTTCCCAAGGGAGATTGTAGAAGCATCGCTCCGGCGAGACCTGGTCCTGTGGTCAGAAGCTCGCAAGACGGTCCTGCTGGTTGAGCTCACTGTCCCGTGGGAGGAGGGTCTGGAGGCTGCCCACGAGCGGAAGCGATCCAAGTACGCAGACCTGGCGGCGGACTGCAGGGAGGCGGGCTGGAAAGCCGTCACGTGCCCCATCGAATTGGGGTGTAGGGGCTTCGTTGGTTCCTCAGCTGCTCGCCTACTCCACAACATGGGATGCACAGGAGTGGGGCATCGGAAAGCCAATAAAGAACTGGCTGAGGAGGCGGAAAAAGGCAGTTTCTGGCTGTGGTTAAGGAGGAAGCATAGGAGTTGGGGGCCGGTCAACACCTAGGGCATCAGCAGAGGGTGGCAGGGAGAGATCCCTGCCATTGCTCCTTCACCAGGAGATGTACTGGGGTTAAAGGAGCAAAACATTAATGAGCGGTGGTCCCCAGCTGATGACCCGCATAGGCCCACAGGTGTTAGTGACACTTGCATAAAAGGCAGCGGCGGAGGTGCGTCAGGCAGCAATGCCCAGCAGGTAGACCATCAACCTGTATCATGATGAGTATTTCAAAGTGCCATTTCCTGCTGAAGGTTGAATGACTAACGGACAGCTACTTGACAGAGACAGCAAACTAGCTCGGCGACATGGCCGAACGCAGGTATGACGTGAATTACATTAAACTGTGTGGACCCTGAACAAACGACTAAGGAGAAATCTAGACTCTTTGACGGGACCAGTTGGGAACCACTGGTTTAATCCTCAAGAACTGAATTGAACTGAATCGAATCAGGACTTTCTGAATCAGTATTCAATCAGGAGTGCAGCCCAGTCTTTACCACTGCCTTCAGGCCCAAATGTCAACTTTATTCACTAGATATTTCATAATCTAATTTGCAGATTGGCATGAAACCTACAGAGCACGTTCATGCTCCCCAGAGGAAAAATACTTTTAATCTGAACGACCCCCCAAACATTCCTTTAGCATCACCCTCAAGGCAAACTTAGCACTGTAATCTGCACTAATGGTTTTAGAATAGCTGAAAGATTATACTCTGTATATCCTGTCAGGATCTACAGCTATAATGACGTTGATTTTTTCCATCATAAATATTTAGAATATGCTTTGAGTAGACTTTCTGAATCAGGGTGCTTCCTGTCACCTCCTTCCTCTCATTCATGCTGTCTTTCCTGTCTTGCAGATCACCTCATGCTCCTCCCAAAGAGTGGAGCGAGTGTCCTCACTACAGCACCGACAGGCCCAATGAGTGCTTTTTCAATGAGAACCACACATCCATCTGGACGCCTTACCTTGTCCAGCTCAGCTCGAGGGATCAAGCCATCCTCTATGATGAGAACAGCTTCAACGTTCAAGACATTGGTGAGTTTAACGGCCCTCTGTTATGATCTAGATAAGAGAAAGTTGATAAAAACTGGACCAAAACCAATGTCAGGTTTTCCCATATTCCACTTCGTTTCCACTTTTAAGTTTTTTTAAAGATTTTTAAGTTTATTTCTTTGCAACCTGGAAAAGTACCAGTGTTCTCCAATTCCCAGATTTAGCTTCTGTTCTACAACCTGTTGGAAGAGCCTAAACAGATATCTACACCTTCAAGCTTATCTTATGAGTCTTAGCTATTTGTACATTGTCAAAACATTGTGGCAATGATATTTTAAACAACGGTGTGCCTCCAAGTTTGCAACAACAGTTTGAGGAGGAGGTGGTTGGAAAGACATGTTCAGCAATCACATTCGGATGTAGTGTTAAGGTGTTCACTTCCTTTTGTCCATGTGGTATAAAAGAAGAAGATAAAACTATTATTTTCTGGCCTGCAGTGCAACCAGATCCTCCATTTGGTGTGAACTGGACGCTGCTGAATGTGAGTTTGACCGGCACTCACTATGACATCATTGTGAACTGGAAGCCACCTCAGTCGGCAGATGTGGAGATGGGATGGATGAGGCTGCAGTACGAGGTCCAGTACCGAGAAGTCAACTCTGACCTATGGGAAGCGGTGGGTGTCTTTTAAGCTAATTACGGCCAACTTTTTATCGTCAAAGGAAGCACGAATGTGTCTTAGAGGAGATGTGATGCTGCAGCACTGCGTCTGACATTTGAACCTTGTTTTCTTCACCACAGCTCGACCTTGTGACGAGCACACATCGCTCCATTTTTGGGCTTCAAACTAACGTCAATCACGAGGTTCGGGTCCGGTGCAAAATGTTCGGTGGGAAAGAGTTCGGAGAGTTCAGCGACTCTGTGTTTGTGCACGTTCCATCGAAAGGTAAACACTCACTGCTATGTTTATAGGCTGGGTGGACAGAGCTGTTACACGTGCTGTTAGAAGGGTTTTTCAATATACATTATATCTGTAGAGGCTGCAGCCGAGTGTCCTTGTCACAGTGAATAGTCGTCTCAATATTCCTGCTTACAGTTCGTCTAATAGCTCCCCCCTGCTTCTGCTGAGTGTCAGAATCAATTCATGAAAAATAAATGATATTCTAGTCAATACCTGTTAGAGTTTCTCAACGCTGTGATCAGAATGCACCAGTAGCCATGTGGGAGTCCTTTTATGCCTAAATAATGCTTAAATATTAAAGAGTTCATATTGCACACTCCCGTCCTGCTACTACAAAACGTGTTTCCCTCTGCAAACCGTAAAGTTGGTCCATTTTCCAAGGTGTGCCTCCATTTCTCTACGCAAACAAAAGATGGCAGCCATAAAAGAAAGCTGTTTAATGCATTAAACATCTTGCTTTCAAAGGCTTTGTTTATTTCAGACAAGAGCAGCATTGTATTTCTGTAGCTTTAATATAATCAACATTTCAAATGTAACAAGACTGAAAGGCTACAGCCATCCTAGCTGTTCTGGAAGGCAATAGTTACAGCTGTGCTTTGTGCTAAATGCTAATATCACTATGCTAACATGCTGCTATTTTGCATATATAATGTTTAATGTGTTCATTTTGGTTTAGCATATTAGCATGCTAACATTTGTACAGTTGAGGCTGACTGGGACGCCATCAGTAAAGTAGATATTTGGATGTATAAAGAGAGCTGGATACAGCATTAGAGGTTGGGCTCTGTTCTGTTTCAAGTGACCTGGATCCTCATCCATGGGCCCATAAAGCAAGTGCACTAGAGACTTCCACCAGCCGAGTAGGCTATATCAAGTTTAAGTGCTCTGCTACCTTGAATGGGGATAAAATGATTTGATTGTGCAGCTCTTCTAGACTTTCAAAATGTTATCAGACCAAATGGATCAAATCCCAATAGCTGAAACGAGTCATTTCACAGGTGTTGTGATGCCCCAAAAAATGTATCCACTGATTTACAGATGTCACGTTCCCAATGTAAGTCAATGGCGTGACGCACCCAGAAGTTGTACATCCACAATTTGGCCACTATGTAAAATTGGCTTCAAAGTCCGGTGCTTATACATTTGTACACATAAAACCTTAACATACATTTTCATTATGGAGTAATATATTCAGTATATAGGGTTAATCTGTGTGCATTTCTTTCCCCAGTGTCGAGATTCCCAGTGGTGGCCTTGCTCATCTTCGGTGCCTTGTGTCTTGTAACCATCTTGATGTTAGTCATCATATCGCAGCAGGAAAAGTAAGTCCTTCGCAACATCAGGATTTCCGTGTAGGTTTTGAAAATCACTGAGAAACGAGGACGTACAGAATGCTGCTCAGTGATCAGCACAGTGTGGGCTGCATGACCTTGAAAAACTGCCTCTGTGTCTGTGTTATCAGTGATGTCATTCAAAAATGTTTAAATGTGAGACGTTCTATACATCTGCTAATTATCTGCTGTTAATACTGAGATCTGAAGTCAAGCGTGTTTTGTTTGCTATTGCTATTCATGTGTTAATGTCGGTTTCATTTTTTTCTATACCCAAGGTTGATGGTGATTCTTTTGCCTCCTGTTCCTGGACCTAAAATCAGAGGGATTGACCCTGAACTACTCAAGGTATTCATTTACATGTTATTATGCTTGACCATGACTTGTCCTAGCACACTCTGTATTGAAGTGAATCTTCATCTAAAGGATCAGACACACCAAACCAACGTCAGAGAACTAGAAGGCCCACGCCGTGTCACCTCACGTCGCTGTGTCTCAGCCAAAAAGTTGCACTTGAACACGCCAAACATAACTCTCCATACCAGCAGACAGTCGTCATCTGTGATCGACATACAAAAAGGAAAACCAGGAGACCGTCTTGGCGCTAGTTAGACAGTTATCGACACAATCCAATGCTGAAAGAGCAAAGCATATTTACCATGCGCCAGTGAGCAATAATAAAAACCATCAGGAAACGTTTCTGCTAAAGAGCTCAATAGCTAAAAGAATATGCTTACCTCATGTAACAAGTTGGTTTTGGTTTCACTCCCTCTTGAGTATAGCTTTACCGGCGCCAATTCAACATGCTGAATGGCCCAAAAAAACTCCAATGGGGGCAACAGTGTGGGACACACTACACAGGCGAGTGTGGCAAACGCTCACCAATGGCCCTTTGACCGATGGTCAACCGTTGACCTGGTGTGTCTGGGCCTTTAAATGTGTCAAGGCCCATAGAAAACTTTTTGAGGGGAGCTTTTGACTGAGATTTTTAAGGTTTTTAACACCCTCAGTCTTTTTAGATTTTGTCATCATTCCCACCTTTTTATCTTAAATGATAATATTACTTAAATCACTCAACTCCTTCAACTTTCAGGGCTCACTTATTCTAAAAGACCTCACTTGAAATGGGCTTGAAGAAACTCACTAGCCTAGCAACAATAAGGCTACAAACAGCTCATGATGCGACACTCTCTGTAGGAGACACTATTTCCACACAACAACAACAATATCTGATGTCAATATGCAATGGCCAAGTTTCATTTCATTTATTTTCATTCATTTTATTTGTAAGGACAGCGCACATTGAACAACATTTCTGTAAATGTGCCAGTGTTAGCCAGCTGGCTAATTTTCAACTGCAGTCCTTTGGCAAGATGTTTTGAAACCAATAAAACGATAAGATTCACAAGACAAACTCAGAGGACAAAGACAGCATAAAGTCATAAACACAGCATTAACTACAACAAATAAAATTCTCAAGATAGAACTCAAGCCATGCAAAGCAACAAGCAACAGCAGAGCATCATTACAATACAATAACACAACAAACAGCATGTTAGCACAGACAGACATACAGGCAACACACAGCTTAGCGTTACATGCAGACATGCAGAGCAGCAAGAGACAGTAAACATAGGTAAAAAAAACAATAGTCATTATATGGGTCTTCATAAAATGTTAAAAGATACAGTCACAGGTAAGCACTATGGTCATGTGCACTCACACACAAGCCACGCAACACAAAGTTAGCCATATTGGCTGTGAGACACACTTGTTTTTCACTTGTGCAAATAACCCATTAAGGTAAAAGATCAAACAGAGAGAAAAAAAAGGTCAAAGAGTGTAGAAGTAATTAGTTAATCCACTACTTGTATCCATCCCTACACCACAGTGAGGTTTGTGTGTTATCCTGAGAGAAGTTCCTAATGTTACATAGGTTGTAAATGGTACATTGAAACTAGTAAGTTTGATCGTAAAGCTGTCAATGATTTGTTGCACCACGGGGACATATGGTTCATCTTTGCTGCTATGGCATAAAGTCCATACCAACCAAAATATTGCTGCAGAAAATTACATTTTTACTTCCTGTGGCCAATCAGTAAAAAGCTCTATTCTGTCCAAAGGCCCAAATTGCGTTAATCAGCAAACAACAACAGAAAGATACATGAAGTAGGACAACGCATTATGATTAAGTGAGAATTATACAACCTTGACCTACAGCTAGTGCGGCAACAAACTGTGACATCAGCTGGTGAAACTGTCAACATCGGGTAATGTAATGGTACCTGATTATTGAGCAGATGAAACTGTAACGCTGTAACGGACACATAACGACAGCCTACACTGGCCAACTGTTCTAAATTCGTAGTCGTAAATTATAAAGTTATCTAACCCTATGTATCTGCTTGCCAGTGTGACACAGACAATATTAATATGCAATGTTATTGGTGCCTAAAGTCCAACATAAGTTAAAAATGACATTCAAAGTAGGCTGTGTTTGAAATTTACTTATAGCTGGTGCAAGCCAGTGCTGATCTTGAAGTGAGAATTTGAGCAAGACTAACTCAATTTAGTTTGAGTCCACTGTATTGGAGAAGGAGCCGAAATCTCACGGACTCAAAAAGATTTCGGGGATACTTATTGCCTGTATCTGTTGTCTGTTTCTCTTGGGCATTGGTGAAGGTTTGTAAGACATTGGTGTGTGTCTGTGAGGGCATGTGGGTGCTCACATGTGTTCTTGTGTTTACGTCTTTGTGTCTTTATACGAGTAAATGAGAAATAGGTTTTTTTGTTCATTGGATGAACTTACCCTTGAGGGGAAATTCTGGTTGATTGCAACAAGAGTCTTGTTTTCATAGTTTTGGCCATTGTATCTGTCAACAATGAAAGAACTGTGCTCATCAAACCAGTTGCTAGGATAAGGTCAGGCAGATTTTACACAAGCCAACAGTTGACTTTAACTTGATGAGAGCAATATTGATTGAGTCTATCAACTGTATTTTCTTTACCTCACAGAAAGGGAAGCTGAGGGAGTTGACATCCATCTTGGGCGGCCCCCCTGATCTGAGGCCGGAGCTGTACAACAACGACCCCTGGGTGGAATTCATCGATCTGGACATCGAGGAGCAGAGTGACAGACTCACAGACCTGGACACGGAGTGCCTCATGGAGCGCTCTTTGTCTTCTAACTGCTCCCCCCTGTCCATCGGCTTCAGAGACGACGACTCGGGCCGGGCCAGCTGCTGCGACCCAGATCTCCCCAGCGACCCTGAACCATCCCCTTTCATTCCTCTCATCCCCAATCAAATCCACAGTAAGGAACCTGCATGCCTGACACCCTGCGAGCCAAACTCCCCGGCCCAGAGCCCCACAGCTGGGGAGCCTTTTTCTGTAGCGCCAGGCAGAGAGGCAATGTACACCATGGTGAGTGAGGTGAGGTCATCAGGCAAGGTGCTGCTGTCGCCGGAAGAGCAGACTGAGGTGGAGAAACCCACTAGCAAAGACACAGAGAAAGAGAAGATGGCAGAGAAAGAGAAAGAAAAGAAAGAGTTCCAGCTCCTGGTGGTGAATCCAGAACATGGAGGTTACACCTCAGAGCTCAACGCAGGAAAAATGAGCCCAAGATCGTCCTCAGGAGACATGAGTGAACCCTGCCAGACAGGAGGAGACTCCCCTTACCACAAATCAGATCCCACCCCCTTGTCCCCTCTTTCCCCTGCACCTGTCTACACCGTGGTCGAAGGTGTTGACATGCAGAACAGCCTCTTACTTACACCAAACTCGACGCCTGCTCCCCAGCTGATAATCCCGAAAACCGTGCCGACACCAGACGGCTACCTAACCCCTGACCTTTTGGGAAGCATCACACCATAGATCAGCACTGACTCTTCACAGCTAAGACTATTCTCAAAGGCACATAAAAGCTTGAAAACAGTCTTGGAGATCGACTATTGAGGGTCCTATGATTGAGTGTTGAATATCAGGTCTCCTAAAATAGCTGTGTCTGTACTGCCACAACCTCTGACCTCCCGCTGCTCCCTCTGACAGAGCTGTAAAGCTGGAAGTTTGGTATGAGGGAGGAAGAGCACGTCAGACTTTGTTTTACCGCAGTTGTGAAAAGGGCAAAGGGAAACTTTATCATTCATTTGGAGTCGTCTTCAGTATTCACTCGCCTGTAACTCCTCTGGTTTGGTGGTCTGGTCCATCAGCTCCTGAGGAAAATCTCTGGCTCTTCAGCAGCTTCACTGTCTTCACCAACTTGTCTCTGAGTTTGTGCGTCTGCCAAAAGAGGCGTTAAAGTTCTGTAGCACTGCAGAGTTGGTGGTAATTCCCTGCAGTTTTGTCACTATGAGTAACCTCTTCGACATCACAGGTAGTCATTTCATTCAATGTTAAAATAAGAGTATTGAATTTAAATGAGAGTGCATTTAATTTACGGTCACATGCTTCATAACGGTGATTTTGTACATATCAGAAGCTTCAGGTCATGATATACTCTCGTCTTTTTATGAATCCAACATTTTTATATTTTTTTTGTAACATTCCTTTTCAGGCTTTAAGATAAAAATGGCCATGAGGAAAATGTTACTTGCCAATCAGCCTTTATTGGGGTATTGCTGCCAACATATGATTAAAATAAAGCATGAGCTGTTCGCATGTAAAAGAATCAAATGGAACATACAATAGTGTCTTATTTTTGTTCTAAATTGTGAAACATTTTCAGGGCTGACAGCCAAAATAATTTGGATTGCGAGTCAGTATTTCTTTTTGAGTGCATGGACTATTAAAGTTTGTATGCTTTAGGTTGGTTTCTGGTTGACAGTGCATATGATGCAGATTTAAAGTTGGGGGTACATGGTCATCAGTGTTGAATTTTTACGGTTATTGCATTTTAACCGTTCAGGTGTTACAAATAAACAACTTTCATACCTTTTACTTTGCCTGTGTCATTAATATCAGATAGTTTTAAACCGCAAAGATGACTGCAGTTAATTTCTGTTCAGAGTGTACAAAGAGGAATACTCATTCAGTGGTGGAGGAAGTATAGGTCTTTTTTTTTTTTAGCAGAAGTAGCAGCATTCTTTTATCCCCCTTCTTATTAACGCTCTATACCGCTGATGATAGCAATAGGCAAGTGTCTTAACATCCAAACGTTTTGGGGTGACACTCCCCTGGTCGGTCTACTGAACCAAGGCAATGACCTGTCCTGCAAAAGAGAGGTTGTATCATTTGTCAGCTGCTGTGATGCAATTTCTTTGAAATGAAATGCTAGGAAGACCAAAGACCTAGTAACTGGTTTCCAAAAAAGAGGGAGGAGGTCCTCTCAGTGGTAATAAAGGATCAGCAGACAGAAATTGTCCAGTCGGACAAATATATTTATGTCTACCTGGATAGTGAAGTAAACTGGAATGATAAAACTGATGTTTTATTGAACAGGGCTCAGTCGAGGTTATTCTTTTTCATTCTTTATTCTTACATCCTCTGACATTAGCAGAAGGTTTCTACATGTTTATCAGGGTATCTTGACTAGTGTCCTCTTCTATGCTGCGCTCTGCTGGGGAGGCAGCATCACTGCAGATAACACAAACAGGATCAATAAGATTATCAGAAAGGCTGGCTGCAGTGACTGGCCTCACTCCACTAACTTGAGGTCACTTTAGCAAAGAGAATAAGGGTCTAACTAAAACCAGATTTGTAATTTAAAAGCCATCCATTACACTATGTTTTTCATACAGACATAGAAGCTCATTCAGTGAGCAATTCAGAAGGACTTTTGTTCCAGCAGCAGCAACAGCTGAGGCCACATCTAGAAGATCATTCTGTCAGAATTGCCTTCATTTATTTGTTGCATTGTGCATTAGTATTTGTTGTGTACTGCCAGGGTACTGTGTACATTGTTGTCTGTACCAGTGGCTTCTGGTGGTAAATGGGTTTCTCCACTGGGGATTAATAAGGTTTTCTAATTTAATCTAATTGCATAGGGAAAATACTAAATTAAAAGATATGGCTTCTGTATTGGAATTTAAATAAAGTGGTTGATCATATGCATTGCATATCATTAAAAAAACTGCAGAAAAGATATATTTGGCAGATATATAGATGAGGAAAGGTTCTGTTAGAGGAGTGCATATTTACTTTGTAACACTGAGTGGAACTTGGACTGTAAATAAATTGGGCTTCTTATTTTTTTAATTGGGTGGTGAATAGACTGGGGATAGTTGTATATCAGTTGTAAATAAATTTGGGAATTTGTTGACATGAGTTAGAAGACATGTAAGAAAGGGGTAAGGACATAAGTTTTACTAATTATTTTCAGACACTGTTATTTTTGTCTTATGTCTTTTTGGGTTCGAAATAAAGTTATTCATTCAATTATTGAAGTCTGCGTAAACACACACATTTAAATAAATGGCTCTGTGAAATGCATTACATTTTGTATGTTCAAATCTATATTATTTTTTACTCTGAAATGTTAAAGAAAAGTATTAAGTGCATTAAACGGAAGTACTAAAATAGGCCATCTGAAAAATGTACATGAATATCTTAAAGACGCGCATGCGCACGTAGGCATAGCCGTTTACCAGCACGCGCATAATGTAGATTTCAAGCTAGCTTAAACAGCGGAACTTGTTAGCTAACGGTTAAAGATTTTTTCAAGCTAGTTAGTGTAACTTTAGCCTTAATTTAACCGAAGCAGTAACACGAAATTATTACCTTTTACTACAGTCGTTGCTCTTTCTCAGACAAGTAAAATGATAAAGTTAAACTGTGTTAATCTTGACAGGTTTATGTCGGAGTTTACTCAACTAGAACAGGTAACATCATCGTTAGCTAGCTATGCTAACTCACTCTCGCTAGTTATGGATGCCTTTTTGTCTGTTTGTTAGACTAAGGAGTTAAGAGACACTGAACTAAAACTTAAACCATACTATCTGGGATGTTTTAATATATACCCCGCAATTACAGCGCCCATTAGTTACTGTTGTCTGGAGTGAACAGCATCTCCACCTGTCTTTATGAAACAGAAAATTACAGGGCTTACTGGCAAAAACAGCATGTTGGAGATCATGCTGGAGGATGCTCATAGACTCCTGAAATTCTCCCAGACCAAGGAGAAAAGTCTGATTGAGGGTGAGCTTTTGTTCTTTCATCTGAGAACTGGGGGTTTATATTAATTTCACGTTTTAATTGCAGTGTTTTTAGGAGCCTTGTGGCAGTTGATTTGGTGTGTATATGTCGCCTCCTGCTGGTGATTTTGCTAAACAACACGTTGACCTGGCATCTACAGTTCACGGTCCAGGAAATATCCTGCATTTGTTCAAATGTACAGAGGAGCTGATGTATGAGAGAGAGTATAATTTCTAATACATTAAAAGGCAGGTGAGATTCATAGCCACAGAGAGTATTCTTTCGACCTACCTGTTGCAGAGAGAGACAGTCTTCTCGTCTCAGTGAACAGACTGCAGCAGACTCTGCAGGAGCAGTGCAACCTCAGAGGTAAAGGCAAATAACCCACGAGACACACATTTAAAAACATACGCTAATGCACCTAGATAATTGCAATACTCTAATCGGTCTTAAGCAGGGAAATAAATATGCATGGAGCCAATCCTAAGCACTCATGTAGCACAGGATTAAGTCAAAGAAGAATAATGTGGTCCACGACAAATAAATGGTCTTCCAGTTCTAGATTTATAAGCGTTGCTATTGTTGTTTTTAATGTTGCCTTGAAGTGGAAAAGGTCTTATTTTCGGTGTGATAACCATTTAATATCCAAAATGTAAATAACCCTATAAATATACTAATTCACTTAATTATGTATAAAGGGATTTGCGTCCTGTGACTGTTCTGAAACTGTTTGTTGTAGTGGAGAATGAGAGACTGAAGAACGACATGGCGGACCTGAAACAACAGAATGAAAGAACAGCAGAGGTAAAATTTTGAACACTGGTAGAATTTATCATTATGTAAATTGAACACAGCAGTGAATCAGGAAGTTTAATTGAAAGGTGAATGTTTCCATTTCTGTATAGCTGGTCTGTGGACACATTACTGTTCTCTGTATGTTTTTGATATGAATTATAGACATTAATTTATCTTTGTAGGCTGTACACAATGGTGTCATTTCCTCAGGGTCTGTTATAGTGTTCAGTTGGTTTAGTCATCATTATTTTTCTAAACTTTGTCTAAATACTGTCCTGCTCCCAAAATCCAGATAAGAGAAGCTCTAAAATTGATTTTTTTTTAAATGTGTTCAGTTGAGTTGCCTTCAATTATTACTGTGCGCTGACAGAAATATTAAGCTTTGTGATTTCTGTAGTCACTGTGAAGGCCATACAATAATTCACCCTTCGCTCTATATTTGGAGAAGAAATCTATGTAAAATGTACGGGTTTTTTTTTCTGCCTCGTAACTCCAGCTACTGAATTACATTTCAGTTTGACATCATAATAATAATTTTGATTCTCTCCATAACTATATCTTCCTACTAAAGCTTCTTGGTGCCTTTCAAAACCTTAAATCTAGGTAGCAATTCCAAACGTTTGGTTGTAAATGATTTCAGCTAGATATATGTTCTCATCAGGATGGAGCGGCTGAGCTTCAGCAGCTCATCAGTGAGATGGCAGCAGAAAGAGAGAGACACAAGAGGGAGCTAGAGACTGTCAGGCAGCAGTGCAGGAGCGTGGTGGAGGATGTCCACAGGAAGGGTTTCATTCAGTGTAAGGCCAAATAACACTAAATACTCCTCACAATGCATCCATGCTGCTTCTTTGCTACTTTTGAGGGTTTGCATTCTATAATGTTTTTTATGTCATGTTTAAGTCTTTCATGCTTATGTCGTATGTTTTTATTGTGTCCTGCTTGTGGATGGATGACAGATTGTGAGCTGGAGAAGCAAGACAAATTTCTGTGCAAACAGACAATAAAGTATTATCTTATCTTATCTCTTACACTTAGGCAGTGACGGTGTTGATGTTATAATGTTTCAGAGAGTACTTTGTTAAACATGCTCAATATAACCTCCCTACAGCCTTAAAGTCCTCATACAAGACATAGAAAGCGGATCAGATATATTCTTAAATTTATATTTAACACTTGTGGTTGCAATGTAAGTGTGAAGCATTTCCCACTTCATTTTCCTGTGAAACATTAAATGTGAGAGTTGCATAGCAACAGTAACAATGATATCAGCCCACAGCACAGGAGAAGAAATTAAATGTGTATAGTGTGTAAGTAATGTGTGTGTGTGTCTGGGGCCTGCTGTTTTATCTCCTGACAGTGGAAGCTAAAGATGCTGAAGTAAAGAACCTGTTGGAGAAAAAAGATCTGGATCTGGAGGAGCTGAAGAAGAAGCTGAAGGACCAGGAGAGGGAGAGGCAGAGTGAGCTCCTCAAGCTACAGATGGAAGTAAATTGAAAGCTATACTTCATGTTGAATAGTGTCGCTGGGGTTAATTTGTCATTAAACATGTTCAAAGTCACAAGAATTTACTTTTTCTTCCTAACAAGTGTTTGATACAAAGGAATAGACTAATATTGATTTATTGATATTTATCAGTTGATATGAAGCTCCTGTCAATCAATAATAACTGTAAATTACCTGTCCTAACCAGTTTCAGCTTTTCTATAAGCTTGTCTGTGTTTTGCTTTGTACGTTTTGGCAGTTTGGTGCAAAGTTAGCCAGAGTTCAGAGCACAGCAGCTCAGTGGAGTCAGCAGCAGCAGCAGCAACAACAACATGGTTCCAACCTTCCACAGAGTGTCTTCAAGAGGGTGAGCAGCCCACACAGTACCTTTTTTAACATAGTTTTTCATACAGTTTGTAGGAGTGAGGGGAGAACTGTAGGTATAAGTGATTATGATGTTTGATCCTGCAAGACGCTTCAAGTGTCTGTCTTCATATTTTCTTTTTTTACATCATCACCATAAAAAAAAGATCCTTGAACAAAATCCTCAGTTTCAATAAAGTGATTCATTGGACTAAATAGGTTCGTCCTCTTTTAAATTGAATCAACTTTCTTTCATGAATAAATGTAATTTATGGTGCTGTGATATTGCGACTAGACCGCCCCATTAATACAGGTATGTGCCTCCCTTTGGGTGCCACAGGAAGGAAAACAGTTTTTGACTGCAGTGAAAATTCTGCTTTTGAATGGCTTAATGCCAGTGAGTCTGGATTGAAGCCGAATATTGTTAAATAAAAATTACTGCATGCATATTTTTCAAGAAATTGACTTTTGGACTTAACGGGATGGTGCACCCAAAAATGAAAATTCAGCCATTATCTACTCACCCATATGCCGAGGGAGGCTCAGGTGAAGTTTAAGAGTCCTCACAACACTTGTGGAGATCCAACGGGGGAGTGGGTAGCAGCACAACTGCACACCTAATGGAGGCTTACGGTACCCCAGATTAAAATGTCCAAGAACACATAATTGAAAACACAGAATATCTCCATACTGCTCGTCCGTAGTGATCCAAGTGTCCTGAAGCCCCGACATAAAAAGTTGTTTGGAAAAACGTCATGTGAACTCTGTTTTTAGCCTCATTGTAGCCTGCAGCTCTAACTACCTCTCAGTGCACCGCGTTCACGTGTGTGCACTTGCGCAAGACTGTGAGACATGGGCATTGCCTTTGGACGAGCAGTATGGAGATATTTTGTGGTTTCATTATGTGTTCTTGGACGTTTTAATCTGGGTCGCCGTCAGCCATTAGGTGTGCAGTTGTGCTGCTACCCAATCTCCCCTTGGATCTCCGCAAGTGTTGTGAGGTCTCTGAAACTTCACCAGAGCCTCCCTCGGCATGAGGATGAGTAGATAATGGCTGATTTTTAATTTTTGGGTGCATGATCCCTTTAACCACGCTCTGAAGTTATTGGAAATGGTTGAATTACACAATTCGGAAACAATCTTACGCAGCCACCACTGGAATCCAATTCTACAAATAATATAATATTTGTGTATCCTAATCTTTATCTGCAGCTGTGCTGAATGATGATTTAAAATTGAGTGTCGACGTTATGACCGAAGCTTCTGTGCCTCTAACTGGAGTCGTATGCTTTCAACATGAAGTCAACTGTGGAGGCTGAAAAGCTTGCTGGCAAGATCAGTGATGACGACAAGCACTAGTCTACAAATTTCATTAGATTTGACCTGGCTGTCTCATCCTGTTAGTCCCCACCTTCAGAGTGACATCAGGCTGCTTTCCAGCATGCCCCAGTTGCTTTGTCTGAAGGACAAATGTCTGGAAAACAAAGCCTGAAAGTGCATTAAGACCTGATTTTCATCTGGTGTTTCTCTCACAGATTTGACCTCTGCAGCATTTGATTATGTTTATTTACTCCAAACAGCCAATATGCTGACTGTGTGTGCATTACTAGCCAACTACAGCTCATGTCTGTGCAGAGTTTTTGATGCACTGTCCTTGGTCACCCTGATATGTGCAACACATTTATTGTTCAAACCAGTGCAAGTGTATGGGTCTACGTTGACTCAGCAATCAAACACTTCCTTTGGAGAGGTGGTCATCGCTTATGGCAGCCACTCTCCAACAAGGGCAGAACATGGTTGTAACTTACCACTCATTATACGCTGGGTGCTGCGTCTGCAGGAGTCATCTTTACTCTGTGGGGTGCCCCAAAGCATGTCTTGTCAGATCAGGGACCTCAGTTCACGTCTGAAGTTTTCAGTGAGCTCTGTCATAGCTGGAGAGTTACCCAGAAACTCACCGCTGTCTATCATCCACAGACTTACATGTCTGAGTGTATTAACTGCTCTCTAAAAGGCATGACAGCTTATTATGTTACTGGATTTGCAATTTGCCCTGAGCCCTGCGCTCAGTGAAGCCACTGGCTTTGCCCCAGTGGAGCTGCTGCTTACAGGGTCTTTGAAGGGACCGTTTGCCAGGAAGCTTGAGCTGTCTTCCCAGGTCCCATGTGCTCTTGAAAAATGTCCAAGCTCTTGTAGAGTCAAACCTGGAAAAGGCAAAAAGGAAACAGGCTCATACTTAGAACAAAAAAAGGCTAAATGTTAGATACAAAGATAGAGATATGGTGTGGTTGAAAGCTCATCCCCTGTCCCTCATTATTTTATACTTGCTGCTTAATTCCCATTTTTGCTGGATGTCACAGTTCCCCTGAGTTGATTAGAGGGTAATTCAGATCACCTGTTGTGCAGAGTGTGGGTACTGACTCCTGATTAAGAATGGAGAGCAGCTTGGTGCATTGTTTCTCTGGGCCAATCAGGGTGTGACAACACCTTTTCTGAGGACTTAAGAGAGGGGAGAAAAGGCACACTCAGGGCATTCTGATCCTTCTTTAACAAAATGCAGCCCTGGTGTTAGCAAATATCATCAGCCACAAACTCTGGTCTCTAGGTCCTGAATTCTGTGCTGTCTATTGCTGTGTAGTTTAAGGGTGATTGAAAACCTAAGTGGAGGGAATATTAAAGAACCCCCTCACACTAGGTCACCTGCATCATCAGGCTGTGCTTTGTGTTTTCATGCAAGAGTTCAGCTTGCCAAACTATCACCTAATACTGCAGGCTTCATATAGTGATTTTATTTATTGGTTTATTTCATCGAGACCCAATATAACCCCTACCCCCATATATAAATGTCTTTATTATTAGCAATGAGAATCATGAGACTTGTTTTTACAAGTGAATATTTTTCATTAAGTGGTTAGGAACTGGTTCTTACACCTCTTTCCAACCAGCTGGAATCTGGTTGATCAGTACCACCACACATCTGTGAAGTGTGCACACAAAACAGTTTTTCCTTTCATAAAACCAAGGAAAAGAACAAGGTATTTTACTGAAATTGATGTATTTTCAACTCATGTAGACATAATTTTGACTCAGGTTGCACTGCCCAGAGTAAATATACGACTGATTGCATCCACTTTGGTCTTTCAGGGTTCCTACGCAGTATAGAAAAGTATGAAAGTTGATTTTAGTAACTTCTAGGTCTGGATGAGTATGGAAAAAAGATGCATGTTTGATAATCACTGCACAAGTTGTGTTAGAGTTTGTAAACGGTTGATAAAAGGTTTACCACTGTGTGGCCAAAGCGAGCTTGATGTTGTTGAAAGCAAGGCAAGAAGTATGGTGTGTGACTCAACACACACTCCTATGCAGAGCTGCAGCTACGACTGTACATCACAGCCTGAAAAACAAGTGCCTTCTTAGTGAATGCTCATCTGCAACCAGATAAGTTTGAAAGAAAATGTGGCATTATCTTTAATATCCTAAGTACATAGCATCTCAAATAACCAATATATATTTTCTGCATAAGAAAACCTGTATGGCTGCGTTAATGGTTGTTTCCAGGGACACTGTGAATAAACAAGGCTGCACAGGCTCGTCAAAATTCAATTATTTTACTTTTTTCAATTAATTTTGGTTCTTATTTATAAAAGACAAAAAAATCTCTATGTTAAAAAAATGTGAGTATGGGTAGCACTGTTTAGTTTACTTCCTCTTGGGGCAGAGATGTTTGACAACGGAGTGTCGTCAAACTTTCTGCGTAGGAGACTGAACTGAACAGCCACAGTTGTCCAAGGGCTCGCTTGAACATCCCAGATATAAAGCCTGGTTGGCTAAGGATTCTAAATGGGAAAGAAAAGCTTGATACAACCTTTGCAAAAATTAGTGAGACATCTCCAACATGTGCAAAGTCACTTCCTCTTTGCTCGGCCCAACCCAACATAAAAAGTCAACTGCAATGGTGTCAAGTGTAGAATTTTGAAATGGGAAACTGTTTAGAAATGGTTGTCTTTGAATAGGCATTAAATAAACAATTGCACCACTTCTTAATATCACCTTGCGTTCAGTGGAACACAGATTCTCTGTGTGTGTTCTGTTGTCAGCAGCTATGTCTCATCACATCAACATTCTCTTGATCCAACTTCTCAAATATGAGAACTGCTTTTCTCAGTTTAATGTCATTGTGAATTTAATAGCATTTTGAAAGTCACCTTGGGATCTGGGAAATTGTGATGTGCATTTTGAACACTAAATTAATTAAGAAAATAATCATTTCAGAAATCATAATATGATAATGAAAACATTAGATAGTTCCAGCTCCAGAACAAATTTGATGAGCAGTCCCGAAATATAAACACCACACACCACAGTCCTTTACCTGGTACAGCCATTCACAAGAGTCACTGAATAATAGATTTAGAATTCGTGGGTGTTGTTTTTGTAGGTCATCCACTGTTAGCTGTGTGGTTCTGTTCTGAGAAATGGGTTGCATGTCTTGTTTGTAATGCCTCTCTTTAGCATAGTGTGTGTGGATTAACTGTGTGTGTCCTCAGAAGCTGCAGTTCTTCCAGGAGGAAAAGAACAAGGAGATTGTGGCTCTGCGTCAGAGAATCAAAGAGCTGGAAGAGAACCAGCGAGCCAGTGGCTTGAGTGACAGCCGTCTGAAGAGGAGAAAGATGTAGTTTGGTCAGAGGCTAAAGAGCTGTTGACCTGTCGGCTCTGCAGGTGCATCAATCTCCCCACTTCTCAGGGGGGCTTGTTTTTTACGTATTTATTTAATTTCATTTGGCTCGATTTGTATTTCAGTTTCGTTTCAAAGCAAAATTCAGTTGTTTCTCAGCGCTGTTGACTTATTTTACAGATCACTTCATTGACCACACTGCTTCTCTTGCACTGTCATACTTCAGCTCTGCAGATTCACCGTGCTGCTTGCAGGTGACCAGAGTACAGAGAGCACATGTAAACACAGGCCATACTCCTGTCTAAGGCTTTAATCCAATCAGACGCCTGCATGGGCGGGCAGGAGGCACTGAAGAAGGAGGGGTGCACCTCGTGAATCAGATAGCTGGCAGGCCAATCTCATTCAGGGAGTTAAACCTGTTTATCTCTGTTCATTCAAAGAAAACAAACCATTTAACTCCCATTCATTTATCCTGGTTATGTCAGATTCATTTAATTCAAACTTTCTGAAAAAGTAGAGCTCTTGATCTTTATTTCCTGTAAATTGTGTTTAATGATTTTCCATTGTGATGTTTAGGAAAGTAAAGGTCTGTAAATATCTGCTTTTCTCAATAGCCTAAAACTTTTACATCTACCCGAATAGTTTATTAAAAATCAGCTTCTTTATATGCGTCAGCTTTTGATTTTTAACATGAGAGGGAAGTGTTCAGTGAGATCATTCATAGTAATGCAGGTATCCTGGATTTGAAGTCTTCCTGAGCATGACTCTGTCTCTTGAAAGATGTTGGACTTTCCACATCCCAGCCTGCACTCATTGGAGCCAAACTGACACTGGAGAAATTTGATAATCAGAAAATATGATCTGAACAATACCTTGGCTGATATTTGCTTATAATTCTGGTAATTGAAAAATTGAGAGCAGAAATTAAAGATGAAGGGGCAGAATCTATTCATATTTGAAATTCATCTCTAAAGCATATATGCCAAATTGTGACGAGTGCAGTTTCCCAAATCAACCCTGTTGCCAGAAAGTGTTTGCATTGTACATTTGTGTAAACCATGGATATGTCACATTTATACGTTAGTACATTGTGGATTTGTAGAAACTCAAAATTTCAACACCGCTGTGGTTAATGCGTGGCTAGATTTATGCACAAAAAAAACACTTGTTTATAATAACATACAGCTACTTTTCGTGGCACAATCACATCAGAAATCTCAACCATGGCATTATAAAAACAACTGCTTTTCCTTGCAGTCGTCCAGAAGGAAATGCAGCAATGTCTCAGCAAAAACAACTGCTGTTCATGGTGTAAAAATAGCGGTTGATCACCAAAAACCCTCCACATTATGTGTCTAAAATGCCCCTGGAAAAAACAGTTTTGTTTGTTGGTCTTGTGCAGTGGTTTGCAACTTGGTAGGCATCTTGCTTAGGTGACTCACCATCCACTGTCCCCTTCACCTCCAGATGACAAAGTCAGCTCACATCATATCATTGGATTTAAAGTTAAGTAGTATATGAGACTGAAACATGCAACATACTTGTGGTTTGCAGAAACGTTCAATGCAAACATTTTTCTTATGGCTTTTTCTTTTGACCAAAACATGTACTGAGCGGGACTTTTTACAGTTGAAAAACAACAAGCTAAACGCTGCACCAGTTGTGCTGTAATGCTAAGCTAAACTTGTATTATTTAAAAGAAAGCAGATTTGAATGCGTTCTTTAACTTTCCTGATGTCCTGACTTGTTTCTCCCAGCTGCCCCTCCACTGTCCCTCACAGGGACAACACACCTGTACAAAGATGCAGTGCCTGGTGAAGTGTTGACCTCATGCTTTGTAATCTCTTTATCTGTGCTGCTCAGCCACCGTCTAAAGGGGACAGAGAGCTAATCCTTATGGGAACATTGGGTAACACCGTTGCATAACATTTCATCTTCACAAAAGCTTAGAGATCAACCTTGGCTGCATAACACGGCCATGTGTCACACAGGTGGGCTTTGCTACACATGCAAACCAAACTGCTTGTATATACTGTGGATACAATATTTGTGCACATTTGTCGTGCGTTGCGTCCTTCTGGCCTCATTTTTGCTGCCCCGAACTGGTGTTAGCCGTTTGAAGGGATTGGCACAGTCCTAAATTGAAGCAGGATTAGAGTTCATGACACCACCTTGATCCTTGTTCAGTGAGGAGGAGACGATGAAGATAGGCAGAGGTGAGGGGTGTGGCCAGGGAAGCTCTGACTGTCTGTCCACTTGACAGACGCGCCCCCCCCCCCCCCCCTCCTCCTGTGCTCTCAGCAATCAGCGTACAGTAGTCTGTTGGAGAGGGCAGATACGGAGACGATGACTGCACCGTGCTGCTCGGTTTATTGGGACCGCCTGCAATGATCTTGGCACAAACTGTCAGACTTCAGCATGTAAGTGAAGAAAATTCATTTTTCTGGGTGCTGCTGGGCCAAAAGAACAACTTTGTTATATTGCTGCATGCATTGGATTCTACAGCAATGTTTTGATGCAGTGCAGCAATTTGAAAACCTGTATTCTGGATCTCTTTAAGCTTTTGCATCCATTTAAGGGGTTGCAAGTGTCTAGTCTATAGTGCAGAGTGTCTGCTGGTCCTTAAAAGTCTTAAAATTACTTAGATATATAAAAAGTAGCTCTTCCAAGTCATTACAGAGTCTTAGATTTTAATTTGTGAGGTCTTAATTGCCACAAACATTTTATTTTTAATGTCATTTATCCATCTTAATTTATGTTTGTGAAAATGAGTCGTAGTCTTCAAGTCCTTATTCCTGGTGTTACAAATCTGCAAACCAACCACTGACCCTAATACTGTCCTTTCCTTTTGTGCTTGCACTTACCTGTTGCAGAATATAGATTGACCTAACTCACTCGAATAACCATAAGAACTACCAATGCACAGGACCACGTATATGATACTTTATTTACTTCATAATTACCTGCATTGCTCGAAGAAGTAAAAGATCATCCAAGAATCAGACCTAAATTTGGTTAAAGATCATCTTCAAAAGCATTTAATTTGACTGAATAATTTGTATTTAATGGTGTAGTCTTAAAATGTTATGTGATATGCTTCTATTTAAGCACTAGAAGAAGCAAGTGTAGAATATTTGTGATGTTAAAGGAAAATTAAAGGGAAATGTGATTGCATTCACTCTTTAAAATGTTAGATATTCTTAATTAAGGGTGACATGGAGCACATAACTCAATCTCAAACACTTGCTTCCTGATTAAGACTTAAAACACAATTTCTACCTGAACATTTACTGTTAATGTTTAGATGAGAGTGAAGCAACTATGCTGTTTTTTATCATCCTATCAGTTATTTTAGACAAAAAACAAACCACTGTGTGTTCAGACCAGGAGCTTGTAAAGACTTAACGACATCATTGTGTTTTTCAAGATGACCACATCTCCAGCCTGCTGCAGAAATGCCTGGAGGCCTATACCAGGTGACAACCAGGCGCCACCACAGTGTCTACAGCCTGACAGACAGCTCTGAGGTCGGCCCAGATGATGACATCGACGCCCCGCTGCGCCTCACCCCCCTGCAGAAGCTCACCACCGACATGTGCAAGGATGAGAAGACCATCAAGGACTTGATGATAGGCCGCAGGGTGGGCTTCTACAAGGTCCGCGGGGAGATCGGCTCTGGGACCTTCTCGAGAGTCAAACTGGCTTTCCATGCTCTGACTAAAGGTAGGTGTACATGCTGTTGGACCCTTAGCCTGGGATCCTTCCACTCATCCATGCACCTTAAGTGTTTAGCCCCTCTATATACAAAATAAGACAGTCTCAGAACCTTGTGAATATCTTATATCTTGGTAAAATGATCAGCAGTGGAGCGTGGTCATACACAGTTAAACTGGATGCAGTCTGTTGTTAAACAACATGGGAAAGAAGAAAGAGATGGACACCTGCACACCTTCTGTTAGTAGTGTTCTGTACAGGCCTAAAGGTAACACCCACACATCAGCTTCCAAGACTTATGCAACGCTCAGCTACACACACTCTTCCTCACCAGGCATTGAATGTGCCAGACAGTTGGCACAGCGACAAACAGAAATGTCTTATATATTTCCCTTGGAAATAACCCAAACCCTAAGCTTAACATAGCGAAAGAGGCCGAACCCGACTCCAAACTTGATACTCGGGTCGGGTAGCAGAACTCTAGTCCTCTGTAAAAACACAGCTTCTGTTTTCATTATTGGTTAATCTACCAGTACTTTTTCGTAGTAGTTTAGTCCAGGGATGCACTGGGAATAAAAAATAGCTCTGGTATTTTTGACTCATTTATAATTCTTCTAGGATCTGAGGACATTTGGAGCTTAGTCTCAGACTCTGTCAGGGGGTCCAAGGGATCCTCCCCTGGCATTTTTTATGCTTTCCTATGCACTCTGGCACCTTACTTACAAGCACAAAAGTACAAGTACAAAACAATGTTACAGTGAATAAGAAAGTGGTCAGCGGGCCACCCAGCACCCCATCTGTGTTCTTGTTGACACTCAGACTGTTGCTTCCACTGTCCTCCTTGTAGACAAAGTGGCCCTGAAGATACTGGACAAGACCAGGTTGGACAGTCACGCCCAGCGTCTGCTCTCCAGAGAGATCAGCAACATGGAGTGCCTGCAGCACCCAAACGTGGTGTGTCTGTACGAGGTGGTGGACACGCCGAGCCGCCTCTACCTGGTGCTGGAGTACGCAGGAGGAGGAGACCTCCACAACAGGATCTGCACCGAGGGGAAACTGTCAGACAACACCAGCAAGATCACCTTCGCCCAGATCCTGTCTGCCATCAAATATATGGTGAGTGTAATTAAAACATAACTGAGCTCAAATTCTGTTTGTTTTTCCCCATCATGCAGTTGTGATAATTTATTCTATTAGGTCAAGGGCTGAACAGCAATATGGCACAATATTTGTTAAAGGGCATGTGTTTCAAAATACAACTTTGAAATAAATAAAGAGTCTTACAGAAAATCTGTAATGTCAGATCAGTGTGATATTAAGAAATATATGTGTTTTGTTTTGCAGCACAACCTCAACATCATCCACCGAGACCTGAAGGCCGAGAATGTCCTGTTCACCAGCAGCGGCAGTGTGAAGGTGGCAGATTTTGGATTCAGCACGCGGATTTCAAACCGCAACCTCGCTCTCGACACCTTCTGCGGCTCGCCACCCTACGCCGCCCCGGAGCTCTTCAGGGATGAGTGCTACATCGGGCCCCCAGTGGACGTGTGGGCCATGGGGGTCCTGCTCTTCTTCATGGTGACCGGCACCATGCCGTTTCGCGCCGAGACCATGGGGAAGCTGCGGCGCTGCATCATCGAAGGCATCTACACCATCCCTCCCTGGGTGCCAGGCCCCTGCCAGAGGCTCATCAAGGGCATCCTGAAGGGGGTCGCCGCCGAGCGCTACGCCGTCGACCAGATGCTCGGCTGCGATTGGCTCCTACCTGTGGAGTTCCCCTGGTCGTTGGTGCCTCCCGAGCCAACGAGCTCTCTGCAGAACCTGCTGGATTCGGAGCGCAGAGACCTGGAGGAGCAGGTCGAGGAGGAGGTCAGGAGCTCGATGGAGGAGCTCGGCTTCACCCGGGAGCACCTGAACAACAACCAGATCAAAGACAGTCGCAACCCGGTCACCGGGGTTTATCGGATCCTGCTGCACCGAGCCCAGAAAAGGAGGGGCTGCGACAGTCCCCCAGTCGTCAGGGGGATGGTGAGGGACCCCAAGAGGGAGGGGCTTCGAGCCTACAGGGGCCTCAGACACACATCCAAATTATGCGTGCTCTCATAACAGACTGGTAGGGATGCTTCAGAACAGTTTTTATACTTCTTCTTTTATACAAACATGAAATTAGAAGCTATAGTGATTTTTTTTTTTTTTTTTTTTACATTATGGGACGGTGACTTGTAGTTTTTGATAAATGTGTTTCATTTGCTCCAATGCAGCTTTATGGGATAGCCTAAAGTATGAGTTAAAGTGCCTGGTGAAATTAAACAGAATTATATCTAACTAAAGGGTGACTTTCCCTTTCAAATAGTTTGATTTGAATGATTTTTAGAGGCCTGAAGAGGTGAAGATATCCAGTATGTTTAAGCAGGCAGCAAAACTTGGAGATTTATTTAAGAAAAACAAACATAACCTCATAACTTTTCATGGGACCCCTCCAGTTTTTAGAATTGTCACAGCTGCTCTTAAAATTCAGAGCCAAACAGCCCAAAAGCATTTAGTGCATTGATAAATGACTCATTTTGTATTTGTTTTTTTGTGCACCTCACTGTAGCTTTTCAGTCTTGTGGGTGCACACAGTGGGTTTATTAAATATTATAGTATGTTTTTTAAAGGAAGATGGAGAAGCTTACACCCACTTAAACAAATCCTGTATCTTAAAGACTCCTATTGTTAATGAAAAACTAAATAAAGTGGTGAAAAAAAAAACTAATGCGTCACTCACTGTTTGGAGCAGGTGGCTGCACGCTGCACCCAAACAGAGCCGAGCTCGCGTCTCTGCGGCTTGTTTACCAAAGTTTCACCAAGTGCCTGCGAGTAAATAATAGTACCGACAGCAGCTGGCAGGACACCAGATGATACTCGGGACCCCTCTCCACCTCCACAACCGGTCCAAACCAGCCAAAACCCAACCCCTCTGCCTGCCCCCTCTGGCACTGCAAAAACTCACTAACCCCACCGGCTCCGCCCAGCCCTGCCCCTGCCCGACCCCCACCTGCAGGAAGCGGCAGATGGCGCGGCGTGGCTGCGGAGACATCTGCGGGGCGAACAATAGGAGCTCTGTGCGGACCGCTGGAGCTGACAGGCCCCGGGAGCTGCGCTATTGTGCGCGGCGCCATACACATGCAGATGAGGTCTGCTGGAGGAGGGACAGCAGCCAGCAGATGACAGGCCTTAGCGTCTTCCATGCAAATCTGCTGAGTTTGAAACTTTTGTTAGTTGCGTAACTGCCCCTACCCTCCCTTCTCCCTGACCCATCACCACCTCCTGCTCCTCCACCTCCACCCAAACACTTGACACACAATGCAAGCATGAGGTTTGCAGAGAAAGTGAAAACACATCACACCACTGATATTACTTCTGTGTTTTTTATTTCACATTTTCCACTTCAAACAATTTCTGACGTGAAACTGTTAGAAAATTATACATTAGTTTGTATTAAACATTGTTCCAACAGAATCAGACAAATCTTTTCATTTTTTTTAACATCACTGTCTTGAGCACATAATTAAATGTTTATAAGACAATCTTACAAATTCTCATTATTTTTTAACATTAAATTAATTCAGCTATTCTCTAAAGTGAAACCTTTAGAGAATAAACTTGTTTTTCTTATTTTTTTTATGTTTTAGAATATATTTTTTGTCATTGTTAAATTTCTAAAGTGAAACCTTTAGAGAATTAAGACAATTCTGGAAAGTGGGAAACATTTCCGCTGATTGCAACTGTTGTCATGTTGCTCAGCAAAGAGGACGTCTTCAAAAAGTCCCTTTTCAAAAACGCCTCTTCCTCAGCACCGCTTCTTCTCCTGCTGCGCGTGCTTTCAACGTGCGACGATGGCTCTGTGGCAAAACTCGCATCTCCTTCCTCTCCAAACCTCATCCGCACAAAGAATGAGGGTCGATGCGTCGCTCTTGTGGCATACCCGACCTCATTCACATAAAGAATGAGAGTCATCTTGGCATGGACGGGACAAGAGGCGACGGTTCACGGGGAGGCCCCCGGGCCGGTGCCGTGCTGCCTGGACGGGAATCCTCCTCAGGAGTGTCCAGGGATGAGCAGAAACAGGCTCATCCTTTTCATCAGGATGAGTATTTCCAGGTAAGAAGCTTCACAGCTTTTGAGCAAGAGAGGAGCCGAGGCCCAGATCAACGCTCGGGGAGGCTGATCTCAGGAACCCAGTCGTTCAGACGGCGGCTCTCCTCACAGAACAGGTGCAGCTTATCCAGAGCAGGGTCCTCCCAAGACCCATCAGCTGGGTTCTGTTCAAACAGGAAGAGGAAACAGAGTTTAGCCACGTGTGTCTCTCAACAAAGCATCTCATATACACTTCAAGTATGATTCAGACTCATATTATTGAGCTCTACATACCGTGATGAGGACACAGTGGGCATCTTCAAGCTGCTCCGCCTTGTCACCAACAATCTCAGCCAGACGCTGCATGTCGCTCACTCTGACGATGCTGATGTCGTTGTCGAAGCAGAAGGACTGGATGAGGGTGAAGTGGATCTGCAGAGCGATGTCACACTCAAACTCCTCATCCATGGCCAGGACGCAGAAGGACACACTGTCCGGGTCACTGTGGAAACAAAACAAAAGAGCGCATGAGATTCCATCCAATAATCTGCCTGATATAACTAATGAAAATGTAGTTAGCTGTAAATCTGCAACAGAGAGTCTCATACTTACAGATTCATAACTTTGGCGCACTCGTAGACGCCAACGGTGAGGGAGTCGTTGTCCTTAGCGGACACCAGGACCTCCTCCAGGGCTTGGCCGGTGCACTGAGCACGCTCGGTGGGTTTCTGGATCAGAACTTCCTCAAGAGTCATGATGAAGATGATGAAGATATTCCGCACAGGGAGATCTTTAGAGTTTGGTCAAAGAGTAAAATCCGAAAGGGAGTAGAGTGCTTTCAGTCCTGCAGCCTCCCTCTTTTATACTCTGCAGCTCGTGCGGCGCAGTGAAAGCGCTGCGCCCTGATTGGCCGCAGCTGAATGGTGTATTGGTATGATAATGCTATTGTCACACTCCCGGCTCGTGGCAGATTGATGGGGGTCATGGAGCCACGCACGCTCCCCCTCTGAGCGCAGCAGCCTGCAGACTGAAACTAAAAATAGCCTCATTTTAAAAAAAAAAGTTTGATTACTGTGCAGCACTTTTGTGCAAATGAGGGAAACACAGCCGGTGTTATTTAAATGCAGAGATTCATGAGGAGCATCACTGCACCTTTATATGTATTCATAAGAACTCTGGAAACGTGCAGAGTCTTTAAGTGTTCCTTTTTGGAGGCGCTAAAACGACTTACAGTTAAGTGCGCACCACGAGCAATCTTCAAAACATTAAATATGAGCTCCAACAAAAAGAAAACTTTCAAAACAGTTTCTTGGATTTTAGTTTTTGGTGCCAGTATTTCAGCAGCAACACGGAGAAAGTGTGAAGCGCCCCTCCCCCCGCTGCAGCAGAGAGAAAGGGCAGGTGGATGATGCCATCTGTGGACTAGAGGCTGGCCATAAAACGGCCCCATTGTGCGCACAGAAGCCCTCTATTATCACGGTCCCGCATACAAATGCAAATGACCAGCGCGTGCCAGAACGCTGTGCATGCTGCGCAGTCTGCGCTGCTGGCCCATGCTGACCACGTGGCTATCAGCTGTCCAGAAAATCCTTGCTCGCTTTTTTATTTATTTACTCTGGGGAGTTCAGGGCCCACACGGACTGAATTCTAAAGGAGAACTTGTGAAGTTTATTGCACTTTGGTTTTTGGGGCTTGAATCCAGCAAATGTCGTCATTTGTGGTTTTATTTCAGCTGTTTCTGACAGCTTTTTGTTGGTTTTCATCACTTTTACGCACGGCGAAACTTTTACGCACGACTCTGTTTGATTATATTTAGTATTTGGTGCGTGGGTCCACTGAATGTATTTATCTGTGCGTCTAAATAAACTTGTTTTTGAAAGCCAACTATCACTTTTACGCACGACGAAACTTTTACGCACAACTCTACAAGGTTATATTAAGTATTTGGTGCGTGGGTCTACTAAATGTACTTATCTGTGCTTTTGAATAAACTTGTTTCTGACAACCATCTACTAATTCACGCTCACTTTTACGCACTGCTAAACTTTTACGCACGGCTCTAAGTCATCTGCCCCAGTTTCTCCCCAACAGCTCGTGCTTATCTGGCTCTTTTTTTTTCTGCATAATAATTCAAAACACATCTTGCATCGGGTCAGGCCTGCTGCCACTGCTGCGTAAATAGAAAAGGGGGGCTGGAGTGGAGAGGCTGTGCAGGAGACACAGGTTGGCGGTGATTGATTCAGCGCTATTGTTCTGCGGAAAGCAGAGCGGCAGATGGAGAACTGTCGCTATGACGGGCCCCCCCCCCCCCTCCTCTCCCTCTCTCCTAAACCCAGGTCACCCAGGGCGCGCCTATCTTTTGTCTGCAAGTCTCCACATTCGCCAGCCTGTTGTCTGAGTTTTGATTAAATTTGAATGCCAAAAGAGAAGAGCTTATGGTCTAAACTTTCACAATGAAAAAGAGTTATCTCCAAATGATGCCAGACGCGTAAAGGCAGATAACAATCACCTTGAGTGTGAGCTGTAAACACGCGCAAGAATGCTGAAAGTGTGTTTTGTGAAACAACAAAACTCTTATCTGTGCATTTACTGCAGCAACAAATCATTAGTTTATTTCACACTCTGTCTGCGTGCTGCACATTCACCTGAACATCAGCTGGCCGCGAGGCTTACATTTGGACCAAAGTTTGATTCGTATCCAGCTGACAGAGAGTCATCAAACACTAAGCTATTTTAGGAAGGATCCGCTTGCATGGCCACAGGGCAGGCGCGTGCAAATCGATACCGACCCATTGTTGCTGAAGCACATCTGCCAGACGGAGGCCTCCCCGGCAGCGCGCGACAGGTGTTGGTGGTCAAAGCTGTTTTCTGGTGACCTGAGGCGACTCACTGAAACTCTTTGTAAGGACAGAACGTGTCTGAAGCTGCATGGTAGGATTTTTGGATATATGGCCTCTGGTGTGTGCAGATATGACTCAAAGTTGGGAACATAGAAGTTTAGTTTTGAAAAAGCACAGTCATTGGTTATTTTTCATCTATCAAATACATATTTTAAGCGGTGAAACTCAACTCAATAAACTTCAGAGTGATTCAGTTGAACTTCTGCGTTCTGATTTTGTCCAACCTCAAAACTTCATAATCATATTTACAGCGGATTGTAAAAACTGCCATCACGCCCAGCAGGTGCTGCCTGACTTCCTTTGTCCACCCTCCTCTTCACCTTCCCCTCGGGACAGATGGTATCTCTCGGTTGCTATGGAGAGTGATGCAGACGGGAGAGATAAAGCACGCAGGCATCTCCAGATGCCACGCGTCGCAAGTGGGACCGAGCTTTACGCATGCAAAGCAGCGGCGCGTGCCACTGCCCACTCTACAAAAAACAGTTCATGCAGTGAAATCGGTCATGAGGTATGAAAGAGTTGAATGAGTTTTGTGTGCAATTAGGATGGTTGGTATCTATGCATTATGACACTTACAACTACCAAAGTGCAGCGTGCCAATGCTCTAACCTTCAAAATATTATCTTTAATTTTATGCTCTTATGGTAGAGATGTGGAAAAATTGGCCCCTTCATCGGAGTCATTTAAAGGACCATAACATTGCTTTGCAAGTTTTAACAAACCGTGTCTACATGTGAGCAGGAAGAGGACATTCAGAGGTAACATGTCAAAAATGTAAAATAGAGGTGATGTTTGACAAACAAAAGTCAACATGAGACTCAGTTTGACAAACTTTAATCATAGGTGAGGTACTTAAAGAACAATCAGAGGACAATACTTAATTCAGACCTTTATTGTGGTGGTTTTACAGATATAAGAAAAAAAACAGTTCAGTTTAAAAAGTAGTTGACTGTGACATGAAGTGAAACCTTTAGTGTTACATCTTCAATCACAGTGAACATCAGGTCACAACTTTTTGTCAAAGTTACATCACCATTGCATGGTAATAGAGTTAAAGTCAAAACCTATATACTTTTTCATTTGTAACTATGGATTCCTGCACTCTAAAAAATGGTAGTAGATAAGGCTTGAACTAAGTATGTGTTTCACCATAAAAAAAATAGGTTTGTTTCATTAACGTGTTATTTTAAGATGTCAAAATCAAAAACATTTGACATTTCTGAGCAGGACTGAGTTAAAATATAAGTTAGAATATTAAATAAAATAGTTAGATCACTAAATATCACCACAGCTTTTGAAGTTGGTTCAACTTGATTGAGCTTTTCGAAGTCGAAGGAAGTCATGTTGGTTATACTAAATTAATTCAGCTTGTCAGATTATTAGAGACTCATAGGATTGATTGATGATGCCGGAGTTGAAACTACTTAAAAAGATGCACACACATTGTTACCTTCACTTTTTTAAATTTAAACCAGTGGATTCTTTTGTTACAGTGTGATTAAAAAGTTTGTACTGCATAATTTAAAATTTGACCAGAATTAAAGGAACTTTCATGTTACCTGATTTCACACCTCAAGCTAATTTCAAAAGTCTGCTAATTGATTTTCACCTTGAATACAAATGAATGGAAGTCAATGGCTGACTTGACTGGGAGGGTAAATACATATACCAGTTAAAATAGCTTAAGTTTGAACCTAAATTGTGTGACCGTGCAGTTATAATGTAACGTAAATGGCTTTACAGGGAGAAAAATGAACAATACAGAAAGAAAACAACAAACCAAGAATTTTCTGAAGGTTTTACTTCAACTGTTTTGTACTGCGCCAGCCATTGACTTCCATTACTTTTCTGTACAGTATGACAATCAAATAGCAGACTTTTGAAAGTTGCTTAAGGTGGGGAATCAATCATAGTAAATATCAAATCTGAAAAAATGGAATGGCTGGAAATCAATGGCTGCATAGAATATCAAAAGAAAATCAAAATCTTCAACACAATTGTATGGTTTGCAAAATGTTCTGCTGTGATGTAAAGTACTGTAGATGTGAACATGGTCCTCTTGACTGGAAGTTATCGGTCTGTACTAATTCTTCCAGAACTTTAAAGACTGTGACGATGACAGTCTGCTCTCCCTGTGTGGTTTCATTATTCCTGTCAGCTGAAAGAATCATTTAAAGGTCAGGGAGTTTCTACATCTGATCCTTTCAACCAAAGCTTCCCCCGACTTTCTAAGACTTTTCTATAGGCACGCGTCCCTGAGGGTGGGGAGAGGGGTGCGGGCCTGTTGTAGCCATTGTACCCCAAGGAGCCAATGAGAGAGTGAGCGTGTGCCGGGTCAGCGGTATAAATAGTGTCAGACTCTTGGAGGCAGCACAAACACTCTTCTTTGGACTTTCTGATCACATCAGCCAAACTGTAAGCTAAAGCATCACCATGCAGTCTCCTGGAAAATCTCTGAAGGAAGCTCTGCTCTGTGCTCAGGGTGAAGATCGACTCACTGTTGGAGTCTATGAGAGCGCTAAAATCATGACTGAGTAAGTAAACTGAATGTGACTTAAATACAACTTTGGCTTCATCTCTGTACAGCCACTGTGTTCATCATCCAAACAGCAGCAGCTAACAAGACTTTTCTTTATCCACAGTGACCCGGACAGTGTGTCCTTCTGCGTCCTGGCCATGGATGAGGAGTTTGAGTGTGACATCGCTCTGCAGATCCACTTCACCCTCATCCAGTCCTTCTGCTTCGACAACGACATCAGCATCGTCAGAGTGAGCGACATGCAGCGTCTGGCTGAGATTGTTGGTGACAAGGCGGAGCAGCTTGAAGATGCCCACTGTGTCCTCATCACGGTATGTAGAGCTCAATAATATGAGTCTGAATCATACATGAAGTGTATATGAGATGCTTTGTTGAGAGACACACGTGGCTAAACTCTGTTTCCTCTTCCTGTTTGAACAGAACCCAGCTGATGGGTCTTGGGAGGACCCTGCTCTGGAAAAGCTGCACCTGTTCTGTGAGGAGAGCCGCCGTCTGAACGACTGGGTTCCTGAGATCAGCCTCCCCGAGCGTTGATCTGGGCCTCGGCTCCTCTCTTGCTCAAAAGCTGTGAAGCTTCTTACCTGGAAATACTCATCCTGATGAAAAGGATGAGCCTGTTTCTGCTCATCCCTGGACACTCCTGAGGAGGATTCCCGTCCAGGCAGCACGGCNCTCCCAAGACCCATCAGCTGGGTTCTGTTCAAACAGGAAGAGGAAACAGAGTTTAGCCACGTGTGTCTCTCAACAAAGCATCTCATATACACTTCAAGTATGATTCAGACTCATATTATTGAGCTCTACATACCGTGATGAGGACACAGTGGGCATCTTCAAGCTGCTCCGCCTTGTCACCAACAATCTCAGCCAGACGCTGCATGTCGCTCACTCTGACGATGCTGATGTCGTTGTCGAAGCAGAAGGACTGGATGAGGGTGAAGTGGATCTGCAGAGCGATGTCACACTCAAACTCCTCATCCATGGCCAGGACGCAGAAGGACACACTGTCCGGGTCACTGTGGATAAAGAAAAGTCTTGTTAGCTGCTGCTGTTTGGATGATGAACACAGTGGCTGTACAGAGATGAAGCCAAAGTTGTATTTAAGTCACATTCAGTTTACTTACTCAGTCATGATTTTAGCGCTCTCATAGACTCCAACAGTGAGTCGATCTTCACCCTGAGCACAGAGCAGAGCTTCCTTCAGAGATTTTCCAGGAGACTGCATGGTGATGCTTTAGCTTACAGTTTGGCTGATGTGATCAGAAAGTCCAAAGAAGAGTGTTTGTGCTGCCTCCAAGAGTCTGACACTATTTATACCGCTGACCCGGCACACGCTCACTCTCTCATTGGCTCCTTGGGGTACAATGGCTACAACAGGCCCGCACCCCTCTCCCCACCCTCAGGGACGCGTGCCTATAGAAAAGTCTTAGAAAGTCGGGGGAAGCTTTGGTTGAAAGGATCAGATGTAGAAACTCCCTGACCTTTAAATGATTCTTTCAGCTGACAGGAATAATGAAACCACACAGGGAGAGCAGACTGTCATCGTCACAGTCTTTAAAGTTCTGGAAGAATTAGTACAGACCGATAACTTCCAGTCAAGAGGACCATGTTCACATCTACAGTACTTTACATCACAGCAGAACATTTTGCAAACCATACAATTGTGTTGAAGATTTTGATTTTCTTTTGATATTCTATGCAGCCATTGATTTCCAGCCATTCCATTTTTTCAGATTTGATATTTACTATGATTGATTCCCCACCTTAAGCAACTTTCAAAAGTCTGCTATTTGATTGTCATACTGTACAGAAAAGTAATGGAAGTCAATGGCTGGCGCAGTACAAAACAGTTGAAGTAAAACCTTCAGAAAATTCTTGGTTTGTTGTTTTCTTTCTGTATTGTTCATTTTTCTCCCTGTAAAGCCATTTACGTTACATTATAACTGCACGGTCACACAATTTAGGTTCAAACTTAAGCTATTTTAACTGGTATATGTATTTACCCTCCCAGTCAAGTCAGCCATTGACTTCCATTCATTTGTATTCAAGGTGAAAATCAATTAGCAGACTTTTGAAATTAGCTTGAGGTGTGAAATCAGGTAACATGAAAGTTCCTTTAATTCTGGTCAAATTTTAAATTATGCAGTACAAACTTTTTAATCACACTGTAACAAAAGAATCCACTGGTTTAAATTTAAAAAAGTGAAGGTAACAATGTGTGTGCATCTTTTTAAGTAGTTTCAACTCCGGCATCATCAATCAATCCTATGAGTCTCTAATAATCTGACAAGCTGAATTAATTTAGTATAACCAACATGACTTCCTTCGACTTCGAAAAGCTCAATCAAGTTGAACCAACTTCAAAAGCTGTGGTGATATTTAGTGATCTAACTATTTTATTTAATATTCTAACTTATATTTTAACTCAGTCCTGCTCAGAAATGTCAAATGTTTTTGATTTTGACATCTTAAAATAACACGTTAATGAAACAAACCTATTTTTTTTATGGTGAAACACATACTTAGTTCAAGCCTTATCTACTACCATTTTTTAGAGTGCAGGAATCCATAGTTACAAATGAAAAAGTATATAGGTTTTGACTTTAACTCTATTACCATGCAATGGTGATGTAACTTTGACAAAAAGTTGTGACCTGATGTTCACTGTGATTGAAGATGTAACACTAAAGGTTTCACTTCATGTCACAGTCAACTACTTTTTAAACTGAACTGTTTTTTTTCTTATATCTGTAAAACCACCACAATAAAGGTCTGAATTAAGTATTGTCCTCTGATTGTTCTTTAAGTACCTCACCTATGATTAAAGTTTGTCAAACTGAGTCTCATGTTGACTTTTGTTTGTCAAACATCACCTCTATTTTACATTTTTGACATGTTACCTCTGAATGTCCTCTTCCTGCTCACATGTAGACACGGTTTGTTAAAACTTGCAAAGCAATGTTATGGTCCTTTAAATGACTCCGATGAAGGGGCCAATTTTTCCACATCTCTACCATAAGAGCATAAAATTAAAGATAATATTTTGAAGGTTAGAGCATTGGCACGCTGCACTTTGGTAGTTGTAAGTGTCATAATGCATAGATACCAACCATCCTAATTGCACACAAAACTCATTCAACTCTTTCATACCTCATGACCGATTTCACTGCATGAACTGTTTTTTGTAGAGTGGGCAGTGGCACGCGCCGCTGCTTTGCATGCGTAAAGCTCGGTCCCACTTGCGACGCGTGGCATCTGGAGATGCCTGCGTGCTTTATCTCTCCCGTCTGCATCACTCTCCATAGCAACCGAGAGATACCATCTGTCCCGAGGGGAAGGTGAAGAGGAGGGTGGACAAAGGAAGTCAGGCAGCACCTGCTGGGCGTGATGGCAGTTTTTACAATCCGCTGTAAATATGATTATGAAGTTTTGAGGTTGGACAAAATCAGAACGCAGAAGTTCAACTGAATCACTCTGAAGTTTATTGAGTTGAGTTTCACCGCTTAAAATATGTATTTGATAGATGAAAAATAACCAATGACTGTGCTTTTTCAAAACTAAACTTCTATGTTCCCAACTTTGAGTCATATCTGCACACACCAGAGGCCATATATCCAAAAATCCTACCATGCAGCTTCAGACACGTTCTGTCCTTACAAAGAGTTTCAGTGAGTCGCCTCAGGTCACCAGAAAACAGCTTTGACCACCAACACCTGTCGCGCGCTGCCGGGGAGGCCTCCGTCTGGCAGATGTGCTTCAGCAACAATGGGTCGGTATCGATTTGCACGCGCCTGCCCTGTGGCCATGCAAGCGGATCCTTCCTAAAATAGCTTAGTGTTTGATGACTCTCTGTCAGCTGGATACGAATCAAACTTTGGTCCAAATGTAAGCCTCGCGGCCAGCTGATGTTCAGGTGAATGTGCAGCACGCAGACAGAGTGTGAAATAAACTAATGATTTGTTGCTGCAGTAAATGCACAGATAAGAGTTTTGTTGTTTCACAAAACACACTTTCAGCATTCTTGCGCGTGTTTACAGCTCACACTCAAGGTGATTGTTATCTGCCTTTACGCGTCTGGCATCATTTGGAGATAACTCTTTTTCATTGTGAAAGTTTAGACCATAAGCTCTTCTCTTTTGGCATTCAAATTTAATCAAAACTCAGACAACAGGCTGGCGAATGTGGAGACTTGCAGACAAAAGATAGGCGCGCCCTGGGTGACCTGGGTTTAGGAGAGAGGGAGAGGAGGGGGGGGGGGGGCCCGTCATAGCGACAGTTCTCCATCTGCCGCTCTGCTTTCCGCAGAACAATAGCGCTGAATCAATCACCGCCAACCTGTGTCTCCTGCACAGCCTCTCCACTCCAGCCCCCCTTTTCTATTTACGCAGCAGTGGCAGCAGGCCTGACCCGATGCAAGATGTGTTTTGAATTATTATGCAGAAAAAAAAAGAGCCAGATAAGCACGAGCTGTTGGGGAGAAACTGGGGCAGATGACTTAGAGCCGTGCGTAAAAGTTTAGCAGTGCGTAAAAGTGAGCGTGAATTAGTAGATGGTTGTCAGAAACAAGTTTATTCAAAAGCACAGATAAGTACATTTAGTAGACCCACGCACCAAATACTTAATATAACCTTGTAGAGTTGTGCGTAAAAGTTTCGTCGTGCGTAAAAGTGATAGTTGGCTTTCAAAAACAAGTTTATTTAGACGCACAGATAAATACATTCAGTGGACCCACGCACCAAATACTAAATATAATCAAACAGAGTCGTGCGTAAAAGTTTCGCCGTGCGTAAAAGTGATGAAAACCAACAAAAAGCTGTCAGAAACAGCTGAAATAAAACCACAAATGACGACATTTGCTGGATTCAAGCCCCAAAAACCAAAGTGCAATAAACTTCACAAGTTCTCCTTTAGAATTCAGTCCGTGTGGGCCCTGAACTCCCCAGAGTAAATAAATAAAAAAGCGAGCAAGGATTTTCTGGACAGCTGATAGCCACGTGGTCAGCATGGGCCAGCAGCGCAGACTGCGCAGCATGCACAGCGTTCTGGCACGCGCTGGTCATTTGCATTTGTATGCGGGACCGTGATAATAGAGGGCTTCTGTGCGCACAATGGGGCCGTTTTATGGCCAGCCTCTAGTCCACAGATGGCATCATCCACCTGCCCTTTCTCTCTGCTGCAGCGGGGGGAGGGGCGCTTCACACTTTCTCCGTGTTGCTGCTGAAATACTGGCACCAAAAACTAAAATCCAAGAAACTGTTTTGAAAGTTTTCTTTTTGTTGGAGCTCATATTTAATGTTTTGAAGATTGCTCGTGGTGCGCACTTAACTGTAAGTCGTTTTAGCGCCTCCAAAAAGGAACACTTAAAGACTCTGCACGTTTCCAGAGTTCTTATGAATACATATAAAGGTGCAGTGATGCTCCTCATGAATCTCTGCATTTAAATAACACCGGCTGTGTTTCCCTCATTTGCACAAAAGTGCTGCACAGTAATCAAACTTTTTTTTTTAAAATGAGGCTATTTTTAGTTTCAGTCTGCAGGCTGCTGCGCTCAGAGGGGGAGCGTGCGTGGCTCCATGACCCCCATCAATCTGCCACGAGCCGGGAGTGTGACAATAGCATTATCATACCAATACACCATTCAGCTGCGGCCAATCAGGGCGCAGCGCTTTCACTGCGCCGCACGAGCTGCAGAGTATAAAAGAGGGAGGCTGCAGGACTGAAAGCACTCTACTCCCTTTCGGATTTTACTCTGTGACCAAACTCTAAAGATCTCCCTGTGCGGAATATCTTCATCATCTTCATCATGACTCTTGAGGAAGTTCTGATCCAGAAACCCACCGAGCGTGCTCAGTGCACCGGCCAAGCCCTGGAGGAGGTCCTGGTGTCCGCTAAGGACAACGACTCCCTCACCGTTGGCGTCTACGAGTGCGCCAAAGTTATGAATCTGTAAGTATGAGACTCTCTGTTGCAGATTTACAGCTAACTACATTTTCATTAGTTATATCAGGCAGATTATTGGATGGAATCTCATGCGCTCTTTTGTTTTGTTTCCACAGTGACCCGGACAGTGTGTCCTTCTGCGTCCTGGCCATGGATGAGGAGTTTGAGTGTGACATCGCTCTGCAGATCCACTTCACCCTCATCCAGTCCTTCTGCTTCGACAACGACATCAGCATCGTCAGAGTGAGCGACATGCAGCGTCTGGCTGAGATTGTTGGTGACAAGGCGGAGCAGCTTGAAGATGCCCACTGTGTCCTCATCACGGTATGTAGAGCTCAATAATATGAGTCTGAATCATACTTGAAGTGTATATGAGATGCTTTGTTGAGAGACACACGTGGCTAAACTCTGTTTCCTCTTCCTGTTTGAACAGAACCCAGCTGATGGGTCTTGGGAGGACCCTGCTCTGGAGAAGCTGCACCTGTTCTGTGAGGAGAGCCGCCGTCTGAACGACTGGGTTCCTGAGATCAGCCTCCCCGAGCGTTGATCTGGGCCTCGGCTCCTCTCTTGCTCAAAAGCTGTGAAGCTTCTTACCTGGAAATACTCATCCTGATGAAAAGGATGAGCCTGTTTCTGCTCATCCCTGGACACTCCTGAGGAGGATTCCCGTCCAGGCAGCACGGCGCCGGCCCGAGGGGCCTCCCCGTGAACCGTCGCCTCTTGTCCCGTCCATGCCAAGATGACTCTCATTCTTTATGTGAATGAGGTCGGGTATGCCACAAGAGCGACGCATCGACCCTCATTCTTTGTGCGGATGAGGTTTGGAGAGGAAGGAGATGCGAGTTATGCCACAGAGCCAACGTCGCACGTTGAAAGCACGCGCAGCAGGAGAAGAAGCGGTGCTGAGGAAGAGGCGTTTTTGAAAAGGGACTTTTTGAAGACGTCCTCTTTGCTGAGCAACATGACAACAGTTGCAATCAGCGGAAATGTTTCCCACTTTCCAGAATTGTCTTAATTCTCTAAAGGTTTCACTTTAGAAATTTAACTGACAAAAAATGTTCCTTAAAAATATTGGAAAATACCATCTAAAGGTTTCACTTTAGATAGTTAACACTGATAGAAAAAAAGTGCTAAAATAAAAAGAATATAAGTACATGAATCTGAAATATGAAAGAAACTGAAACTGTAGTACTTCCTGAGGGTTTCACCTCAGCTTTATTGATGTCTAATGATGTATCTTGTTCACTGCATATCTGAATTTTAGCATAGAAATAAAATGTTTGAATTCAATATCACCCTCTGTCTGCACTTTGACTTTTTCATGTGAGGTTGAAT